CGAGAAGCCGGCGCTGCCTCTGTCTGCCGGGGATGACCGCGGGGGCCCCGGGCAGCGGCAGGAAGGCTCACCCGCTGGGCCCGCGACACCTCGGTGGCCTCCCGCCGTAGTCCAGGCTGCCGAGATCTGGGGTTCCCCACTGGCCCCGCCGCCTAGCCCCACTTCCCCCGTAGACCTGCCCGAGTCGTTGCCCCCCGGACCCCTGCACTGGTCCGCCCTGCAACAACAACAGCGCACTCGGGAGTGGGTGGCTAGACAACCGCAGGTGCCCGAGGCCAGGCACCAGGGCCCCGTCCGGACCTGGTCGGTGCTGCCGGACAACTTCTTCCAGCTGCCCACCGAGCCGGGCTTCTGCGTCGCGCGGCCAGACTTAGAGCCTCCCGACCTTCCTCCTTCCTCTCGCTCTCTCTTTCCTGTTCCGGATGAGTCCGCGGAATCCCGGCCAGGTAACTCTCTACCGACTGTCTTTCGTAGCATTCGATGTCAGCTGTCCCTCCAAGATCTGGAGGACTTTGTGGACCAGGAGAGCCATGGCAGTGAGGAGAGCAGCAGCGGGCCCAGGGAGTCCCCTGGGGGCTCCGAGGAGGGGCTGCAGGCTGCGCTGGGAACTCCAGACTGGGGGAAGCCCAAGACTCCAGCCAAGAGCCTTTCCGTGTCTGGGAAGGAGAACAGTCCTCAGAGCCCCAGGAACCGAGAGGATGGTCACAACCCGCAGCAGGTCACAACAGCAGCGAATGGCCTTGCTGGCCACCCCCAGGAAGTGTTGCCCTGGCCAGCTCCTAGGCTGAGGAGGTCCCTCAGGAGGAGCTCTCTGGCCGGGAGAGCCAAACTGTCGTCTTCTGATGAGGAGTACCTTGATGAGGCCTTGCTGAAAAGGAGTCGGCGTCCACCGCGATCCAGGAAGCCCTCCAAGGCAGGAGCCGTGCCCAGTCCAAGGGCGGATGCACCTTTGACACCCAAACTCACAGAGGTTAAGGCTGTTGTGGCCCAGCGGAGTTGGCCACATAGCTGGCGGGCTCCCAGTGGGGAGGCGCCTGCAGCCTTGGTTCCCCACAGACCTTCGGAACACAAGTCATCGCTGGTCCCCCTAGACGCCAGGGAACACGAGTGGATTGTGAAGCTTGCCAGTGGCTCCTGGATTCAAGTGTGGACTTTATTCTGGGAGGACCCCCAGCTGGCTTTGCACAGAGACTTCTTGACTGGGTATACTGCCTTGCACTGGATAGCCAAACATGGTGACCTCAGGGCCCTTCAGGACTTGGTCGCAGGGGCACAGAAGGCAGGGATTGCTCTTGACGTAAATGTGAGGTCCAGTTGTGGGTACACCCCCCTGCACCTTGCCGCTATTCACGGCCACCAGGCAGTCATCAAATTGCTGGTGCAAAGACTGGCTTCTCGAGTGCATGTCCGTGACAGCAGTGGCAAAAAGCCATGGCAGTATCTGACCAGTAACACCTCCGGGGAAGTGTGGCAGCTGCTGGGAGCCCCTCGGGGAAAGCCCATTTTCCCAGTCTATCCCTTAATCCGAAGCTCTTCCCCCACCAGGAGGGCCAAGAGCCGGGAAATATCTAGAAATGTAACCCGAAAGACTTCCCTTGCTGCACTTCTCAAAAGTCAGCACAACAAGTGGAAATTGGCCAACCAGTATGAGAAATTCTCCAGTGCCAGGGAAAGAGAAGAATATAGTGACTGAGGTGGGCCCCTCTCTTCATCATGTAGCCATTACACCCTTGAGCCATCCTTGAGCTACTCAGCGAGAGAATTCAGGGGAGCAGAACAGCTGCGGAGGGGGTGGGACAGAGAGAGGTCAACTGAGAGGCTACCCAGTCTCTACCTCCCCTCACTGCACCTTACAGCAGCACATCCTGGACCTCAGGGGTCATCCAAGCATTTTGAAAGCTCAAGTCCTTGAACTGTTGAAACCTAGAGAAGGGGCAGAGGCAAGTGCACAAAACCCAGAGGGGTTCTTCCCCTTCCCTGGCCCACAGATCTGGGCACAGTAAGCCCCATTGTTTTCTGAAGCAGCAATCCCAGGCCTTGGCTAGAGAGGAAACAGATGCCCAACAAAAAGAGAGGCAATTTGAGGAATTGGCGAAGCGCAGACAAATCCTCTCTGGCTAGTAGCTCTCTGGCTTCTGTTCAATTGGAGACTAAATCTTGGCTGAGAGTGGAAAGCACCAGGTTTGAAATCAGACAGCTTTTTTTTGGCATTCAAATCAGTGAAACAAAATTATTACTGGAGAGTAGGATTTTATTTAAGCAATTTCTCAGCTTTGTCCCCAAGTCTTCTTTTGAATTCCACCCATGGTGACTAAATGATTAGCCTAATCAAAGAAGCAATTGAGTTGACCTTGACTTCAGAGACATGACTGTCATTCTTGCTTTTTTGTATTAACCCCAAGGGAACTTTCCCAATGTAAAACCATGTGCTTCATTCACATCTGGAGACTGAAACCATCTTTCCTGGAGACACTCTGTAACAAATGGAATTGTCAGTAGTAGTTGCCAGTAGGTTAACTGGTAAAAGTGAGAAATGACCCTCCTCTGGGGAAGCAATAAAGGTTAGACACAGCATGCCTCCCCACCAGGACTTTTGTAAGCTGCTAATATAATTTTATTTGCACTAAACTTGTTGCCAGTTAAGATTAAATATTAGCCTTAAAGTACTGTATATGTAACAGGAAGTGCTTCTTTTAATTGCTCATGAAGAGCTTGACTATTGTAGGCTCATGGAGCAAGAGATGGGCTGGTCTGTAAACTTCAGCAGAACATCAAGGTTTCAGAATTCATGTTCAAAGAGGGCTAAAAAAATGAAATGTTCAGGGGGAGATTGTTAATTTTTTGTGAGAATGTTTTCATGTGTTGTGGCAATGATGCTGTGTTTTAAAAGCATTTTTGTTTCTTCTGGTTGTTTCCCCTTGTTAAAAGATCCACAGAGCTTTATGATTTGTTGTGTTTATGCTGATTACTGTTTTCTTCTTTATAAAATTGTCTCAGTGAGTGTGGAATATTTTTGATTTTTACTTTGTAATTTTGCTGAAATAAATATATCTGTTATGCTAGAAAAAAAGCATAATAAATAAATTTAAATGTGTTTTTTTTCCCCCAAAAAGACCTATACAAGGGACAAACCTTGGAAATCAAGAGAAAAGACAGCCACAGTGGGGCCTGGTTTGGAGAGATGAAAATTTAAGGCTCAGTGCCTGTGGCTCAAGTGGCTAAGGTGCCAGCCACATACACCTAAAGTGGCGGGTTCAAGTCCAACCCGGGCCTGCCAAGCAACAACGATGGCTGCAACCAAAAAATAGCCAGGCGTTGTGGCAGGCGCCTGTGGTCCCAGCTACTTGG